TGTGGCTTGCTGGCTTTGGGACTTAGGGTCAGTCTTGGGAGATTTCTGTCTTGAGGTGGAAGCTAATAAACACAACAGAACTGTATTGCACTGTCTCGTGGAGTTCTTTGGGCTGAACCTGATAGTATGTGTCTGAGCTTCTTCCACATATTTTCTGCTTGTTGTGGATTTAAGATACGTTTTTCTCTTTGTCATTTTGGTAACAAACCTCAACTCTTTCTGTCAAGGTCATCTTCTTTACTCTCCACAAATGAGAGCTGGTGGCCATTTTTAGACCCACAAGATACAACCCACACATTGTAGTTAAAAAGCTGTGTGCAACAGAAAGTTAGATGGCAGCATGTGTGTGCTCATTCATTTGAGTCTTGTGCTTAGTGACTTCTGCAGGCATACCAATGACTGTTTTAAGCAGAAAATTTGTAAATTACAAATGACTGCAAATATACAGTATTTTCTTTTTTTGTTGTCTATATTGCATGTTGGAAATATCACATTTCCATTCTGGTCAGAGCAAGGTCTTGCTCTTCCTTTGTGGTTATGACTATAAAGGCCAGTAAGTCCCTACTACTTTTTTTTAATCATTGCTTGGCATAATTTTATATCCCTAGGAAATTTGTTTTTTGTTTTCATTCTTTAGTTAAGCCATTAATTTAGAATAAATTCTTGTGTGCAGTCAATTATATATGTTTGTGGTCTTGCTGCCAAGTCTAGAGTGTTAATTATTGCTAAGTGCTACTGCGCTGTGGGGATTGTGATTAGAGCTCCAATGCTCCTGGCAGAGGTTGATGTTTGCAGACTGGACTGGGTAGAGGGGAAGATAGTGGTGGGATCTGTTAGGAGTTGAAGAGATGGACAAATTCCTTAGCCCTGATCTTCACTAATCAGCCTTACACTGATCCTTCATTGTGTTGTTGTTGTTGTTGTTGTTGTTGTTATCATCATCATCATCATCATCATCATCATCATCATCTTTTAGTACCAAAATAATCCAGAATAAAGTATCACTTATCATACGATTGAATAGATGGGACTGATATGCATTCTGTAGCTTTCAGTAAAGAGACAGTGAATCCTATTTCATTTAAATGGTTTGTAGTGGAATACTCAGTTCTGGAGCAATGTAGGGTCACTGAAAAGAGAAACGTAATCCAAAATGATAATGTTTCTTTGCTAGATACATATTTTACACTACTTTTAAAGAGTAGCATGAATATTTTTAAAAAATAAATAAACCAGGAGAGTATGGGTTTTAGGGAGACTTCCATACCTCCACTGTTTTCACTTTCCAACTTTTTAGAAGCAGATTGGAAATGATGTCTTTTCTTCTGCTGGTTTGAAATACTGAAAACAACGAATGAATGAAAGAATCCCTGCTTTGCCCTGAGCTTCTCAAGTCTTGCAGCAACAAAAATCTCCTCTCTCCCCACTCAAATCAAAAGGGAAAGAAAAGAAAGCACAATAGCCTGTTGCTTGGCAGGTAGGCTATACTCTTAATGAAAAGAAGAAGGAACATGACAAAACTCTTCTCAATTTCATCCCTGCTCTGGACTAAAGAAGAGGAGCTGTAAAGCCCTCAAAATGGTGTTTCCCACATAGGATCCTGAAGCACAGGAGCCAGAAAGAAGGGTGACGCCAGAGTTTGCTCCCACAGGAAAATGAAACCATTGCTTTTCAACTACACCTCACACTGGGCCAAAGATAAATCAACTAATCTCTCCAATACAGTGAAGTTGTGGGAACATAGACATGAATCCAGAACTTCTTCCACACTAGTACAGAATTGTCATACAGAAGTGACTTAGGAAAATCCAAGTCTTTCAGACATGGTGCTAAGAAATCACAGGCTTTTATCTTTCAGCCTTCATTCTTTGATCTACTTAAGACCTACAGTACTATATGCCATGCCAACAATAGGTCTGTCACTGAGTAGGTTAAACCCAAGAAGACATAACCACACATTGGCTCTATATTCTGTACCAGATTAGGAGATAACTCATTATTGTCTTCTTTATCATGGATAACTTGTAACCATTATTGGTTGGGTTTACTGTACCAAAATCATTTTAGGCATGAAGGACCAATAAAGATGGTCCATCCCCAATAACTAATGGGATCTATCTGTTCTTGGAGAGCTTAGGGATGGATCAGGGCACCTCTGATGGCAGTCCTGATTATGTCCTAGGGACTTCTGGAATTGATGCAATTGCTCCTAGATGCCTTTGTATGTGGCTACGAACCAAAAACGTCCCTTGACTCCTGGCAGGAGACCCCCTGACAATTATTAGAATACAAGTGAAACAAAACTCACCAAAAATCTGAGAAAATGTAACTTAAGGCCCATCTGAAACCTATTCTGTATCACAGACTGATGGTAGCTGTGAAATCTTCCTTCTCCACCCAATGTCCATTACCTGGATACATTCTGACAAGCTTTCCTTCAAGATGACAGCATGTAAGGCAAACATTTAGAAATCTCTCTTCATATTTTATCAGATAAATTCCAGTTATGAACTTTTAAATGTTATTATTTGAAATATTATTGAATCCCAATACATGCCTGTTTGAGTCCTTCTTAAATTTTGGTTGTCTAAAGAGCTATCCAGAGAAAGTTCAACTAATAATTATGCCTAGGTTGAAATTATTAAATTTTTATTATATCAAGATTTCAGGGGAACTATTGCTGTAAGATTATTCTTTGAAAGAAGGTTTCGTGTACAGTACTGCAGAATTATAGATAAGTGTCAAGGTTGCAGTTATTGGTAAATCTGATCAAGTAGCAAATCAGGTTGGCTGTTTTGGTTGGATCAGATTCTCAGGATTTATTTCAGTCTGAGTCCCGGACAAAATCAAGAAAAAATCAGGGAGTGCTGATACTGTTGATTCTCCATCAATAGCTATTGACAGCAATAACAGTGGTATAGTTCTGAACCACTTTCCTAGATTAAAAGCTGAATAAATTGCTATGCATTGCTTCTTTTCCTATCTCATAAATTGGCTTCATCAATGATTCTGGCAATCATTTTCTGTGAAAATTGGCCAAGGAGATCCCCCAGGATTTCATTTTGCTTACCATATTTGCTAAGAATTACATGAAAGTGTTGCATAAGATAATTCAAGGATTTGAAGCACAGTATCAGCACTGTGATGATTGCACCCAATTCTCTTTTCTCACTGCATCATTTGTGGCACAGGTTTCCATAAATTATTCCTAGAGGTCAGGAATGGAACGGATGAAGATAAAACATAATTCAGTGCAAAATGGCAATGCCATTGAAGAGATGCCTCATAATGTATAGAGGGCATGTCAGTTCTGGTTGAAAGAACTTTGTTCCCCATAAAAATAAATTTGTTGGGAGACTCATCCCTTTTAGCAAGGTCAGTTGGGCAGAAGCAATGATAAAGCCTTTTATTTTATTTTATTTCATTTTATTTCATTTTATTGAAACATGTTTTGGAAGGGCCCCTAAAGCACATCTCAAATTAGGCCTATAATCCCACTTACCTGAGATTTGTCTGAGTAGACATATGTAGGATTGTATTATAAAACACAGAATTCCAATAAAATAACAGTAGTACAGCCTGTCCTTTATGTCCTTTTCTCCCTTTTCCCTATGATAACAGGAATTCAGGACATTGGGATTCTTCTATCTCTCTTTCATGCCACAAGAATTCTTACTTCTCTTTCTTAGATAGTTAGAATTAAATTTAAGGAAACTTGCAGCATCAAACTTTCAAAACATGATAACATTTGGCAAATGTGCCTAATATATTTGCAAGGATTTCTGTAAGGAGATGCTCTGCAGCATACCAGAGAAAATTAACCAGCTTAATAGAAAAATCAAATAACAGAATGAAAGACATTTGTAATATACAGATTACAATATAGGCATCATTTGCTTTTCTGGAAAACTGTGGATCATGTTCACTCAATACCTGCACCACTACTAGTGAGTACCATGCTTCTGGTTCTGCTTCTACACATGCTTCTACTGAGTGTGTTAAATCTATTTTTGTCCTATTTTGCTCTTCCAGTGTTATGCTGTAATAGAACCCTCTAGTTATTTATTGAATCAGTCATTCAGTCACTCACTAAATTTATATCTCACCTTTCCTTGAGGAGCTCAAGGTAGCTTATATAGGCTTCCTTCTTCCTGTTTTTCCCAAGAAAAATCCTGTGAGGTCCCCAAAGTCACCCAGTGAGCCTCCATGCCTGAGGGTGGACTTCAACCTAGTTTTTTCTGCTCCTCATATAACACCTTAACCCCTATACCATACCTGCTCCTCACTTTAATCAATAGCCATTTACTGATAAATAAAATGTACACTATATCTCAGAATATTGTAGACAGTTCAGAGCATTGGCCATGTACAATGCTCCACAGTTGTTTTGATTACATAACAGTGACTCCTATGAAATTTGGAAGGCTATTTCACACACTGACCTAGGAGGGATGGCTGTTGCAATGCTCTGAGACCTCTGTCTGCTAGAAGAGACAGCTGCTGCACCCTCTACAATGCATTGCGTTTTACCTCTACCTGTGGGTAAGTCTTTGGTTGGACTGTCTTCATAAAGGACCCTGGTTTGGCCATGTTGATGCCTGAAAAATAATTTTTCTTAGAAAATATTGTTTTAGTAATTCTCTTTTTGTATGAGCAGAGCATGTGATTTCTTTTCTTTGTAATTTCATAATAAGAGAGAGATGCCCACATGACCTACTAAACATACATATATATGTATATATATATAAGTATGAGGATATATATGTGTGTAGGTATAATTATATATAGTCCCAAAGCAATATTTTATATATATATATATACAATCTACCAAATATATTTAATTACAGATTACGGAATTTTAATTGTATATGATTAACACTCAAAATCCACCCAATGTTGGCAATTTATTGGCTATAGCTTTCTTCTGGTATGACTTGAGCTCCCAAAGTGTATTCTCTCCTTTCTCTCTTGTTAAAATGAGCCAGTGGTTTTGCCTCTTCTGTTTATTCCTGTCTCTTTTCTCTTTCTCTCTCCCCCAGCCCCATTTTCTCTTGCTCTGCCTCTGTCACCTTCTGAAATTGAAGCTGCCTTCTTCCCTCATTTCAACTCCCTGCCGCATAATGTTACCTTTCTGTTGCAGATTTTGAATACCTGCTGCCAAACAGCTTTGAGTCCGAGGGACATGTATTCATTGCTCCAAGGTAGCTTTGTGTGTGAGCTTGCTGAGGTGTCCATTCAACCACTGATCCTGGGAGTGGTTCAACTCCCCTTCCCCAACCCCTTTTCCGTCCCTGCCACACCTTCAGATATTCTACTTCATCACTCCTGACCCCTTTGGAACTGATACACCTCTTCATTGTGCCAACGTCTTGATCATTTCTTCCTTTTTTTGTGTGTCTGTCGTCTGCCTGTGTGCCAGTCTGGGGGACTATGATTGCCGCCACCTACACCATGTTGTGTTACCATTGGCGGCTGGCAGCATAGCTGTCCCACCTTCTGTTCACTCACCTACATAAGAAGAATATATATATATGTATGGCTGCGTATGAGATACATATGTAACATACATATATAGGTATAGTTTCTGAAAATCCTCACAAAACAATAAACAGCCCTGTTTCAATCTTATTGAGATCATGACATCATGTAAACAAAAATCCACCCAGAGCATCTCTAAATTAGACCAGACTAAGAAATCAGATAGGTCAGGACTACTTTTATTGCAACAGCTATAGTTGCAGAGTCACTTTTTTGTGAGATGGGCAGCTATATGATATAAATAAATAAATAAATAAATAAATAAATAAACAAACAGAATCTTGCAAGTCTGAATGTGCTTCCCTCTTCCTCACTTTATCTTTGTGTGAACTAGGGAGGGGCTTGCCTGAGACATTTCCTTGTGTTTTTTTATTTGTCTGGGCTCAAACCCCTATTATCTGATTGTTACCTTGCTAGCAGCTGTTCCTCATGTCCCTCAAAGCCATTCCCTCTTTCCTCTACATGCATATTACTATTGACCTATTATATTGTAATACTATTCATAAAAATCACAAGTGCTGCACTTTGTAAGCCTTACTCTATCAAATTTAATTCTTTCAACTCTTTCCAATTTATTTCAAATCTATGGAACAGAACATTTGTTATCCAGTCCAGTATAGTGGTCAGAATGTTACACTAGGCTACAGTAAGCTTAAATTCACAGAATGGTTTGGGGATAAAACTGGAGAAGGGGAGAACTATATATGCTATCTGAGATTTGGGGGTGGGGGTGGGGAAAAGCAGAATTCCATATTCCATAAATAAATCTTGTTAGACTTACAGGCAACACAATATTAGCCCACATCTCATAAACTGATGATATATTTGGCATCCAGATAAAATGACAATGATCATTGTTTGAGATGGTCATTTGCAATGGTAAAACCTATTTGGCTCCTCCAACCACAGGAGCACAAATACAAATGAAGATGGAGCTCTTACATCTTTAATAGTTCTTTAGAAGAGGGGAAGTCAGAAAAAGTCTCTTGCAAGCATGTCATACTGTCTGATCACCCCTTCTACCCAGAACTTTTAAAGATGCATTAATCCAGGCCTCTTCTGTGCTTGACGTGACCCTCTACCCTTAATATACTGTATGAAAATGGAAGAAATGCAATTTTAATAGCCTTTCACAAATTCAGCTTTATATAAGGCAGAATAATACAATGGATAGGTGAAGTTCTAACATTTCTTTAAGCAACTATGAGATTTATTAATCCTATAGAGCAATCCTATACATAAATACTTAGAAGTAATGTAATCCTTACTGAGCTCTGTGGACTTTATTCCCAGGTAAGTATTTATAGGATCGCAGTCTTAAAATGTATGAGTCTCATACAAGGATTATTTATTTATTTATTTAATTAATTAATTAATTAATTAATTAATTGGGATGAGGAAACTGTGTCCCTCCAGATAATGTTGAACCAACACAGACAGCATCTTTCGATATTGGTCAAAGTGGACAGGGCTGCTCAGAACTGTCATTCAACAACATCCAGAGGGACATGAGTTCTTCATCTTTGTTAAGCATTTCATTCAGGATAAGAGGGAACAAATAACCAAGGAAAAACTGATTTCCAAAGAGAGTCCCAGTGCTTTTCAAAAACAAATTTCCTTCCTCAGTTTTGGTTCTTCAATCAGAGAGTTGCAAAGTTTACTTTGCAGGTTGCTGAATGTCCATGAGGAAGTACGTTTTATTTTCTTAAATTCTGTGGGTTCTAGTTTAGCCACTTCTGAGAATGAGGTTCACTGACATTTGTTGCATTCAGTGCTTTACATTTGGGTTTGACAGTACATGAGGGGAGCTGTAAAATTAATAGTTTTTATCATTTAGGGCTACCAAATCTGGGGTGCAAAAATCCAGATGGCTACCACAGTCTTCTGTATCTACACTTTTCTATGTCTCTTTGCTGTCATTTGGATTTTTGCACCCCAGATCTGGCAGCCCAATTATCATTACTAATGGCTATGTTTTTCTGCAGTAAACACTGTCCACCATAAAAATACATGATTTCCATGGGGCATTGTATAAATCATGGATATCAATTCGTGTTCAAATTTTCAGTTACTTTTCGATTTAAGATTTTTTTTTAGAAAGTGTACTTTTTTTGTACAGATATCTAGATATATAGTCATAAAATAAAGGGGGAAACACTTTTTATTCTCTTCAAAACATTCTTTGCAACCCAATGTCTAATTAGGTCTATCAACTGCAGCCTTTCCCAGCCTGATTCTTTTATATTTGTTGGACCACAACTCCCCCCAATCCCATCCAAGATGACTGACAGCCATATTGTCAAATTCTAAGAGGTGTCATGTAGCCCATCTGGAAGCTACCAGAGGTTAAGAAATGCAGATTTATCATTATATCAGAACAAACAGGCTTCTGTTCTATCAAGCATTCATTCATAGTGATTACTTGACATTTCTTTAATTCCAGCTACACTATTTATCAGACTTTCAGCCCCAATATCACTTGGCAATATGCTATGAAGACTGTATGATAACTCATCATTACTAATATGGCCAATAGTCCATGGTAATTTTCAGAAACCATATATCACTAATAATCTATTTGTGGGTGTGCAAGCACATATATCTGTACATATTTGTGTAGATATATAGGTGGATGGAATATTGTATATATATATAGCTCTTCAAGAAGCAAAATAATCTGGGCAGCTAGGATTTTATGTTGTATTGACATACATTGATGGAAAATCTAAAGGTTAATAATGCAAAATAAACGTGTATCTTACTTCTGTGAAAAAATTGTTAGAAACTGGTGAATGTCAAATCTTATCCAACCACTCTACAGAATATATTTTAATTGCTTCTGCTTTCATACGCATTCATTTTCTTGGCTCTAACAAATGAGATGCATTCTGGACCTGCTGCTTGGTCCAAACTTATTAACTCTCTGTATTTGAACTGAAGTTTTAAGAGACTTACTGCTTTTGTGCCAAAGATGACTGTGCAACATAGCAAAGTAGTTTTATCCATAGAATGTACTCCACTTATACATGGACAGGCCTTTGCTTTGAATACACTCTTTGTGACAGAGGCTTTATGCAAATTACACCCACTGGTATCCCCTCAGCTGCACAGCTGTTAAAAGATGCAGGAACCTATCATCTTTTACATCTGGCCACCTGCTGGGATGTCCAGTGTGACATTGCCATGAATCCAATCAGTCTCTAAGTTGCAGGCAGGCAACCTGGTTGGTTGCCTCCAAATCCTTTGGATTACAACTCCAGAATCTGCAGTCAGGATGCCCAATGATGAAGGGTAAGAAGAGGTGTTATCTGAAACATCTGGAGGGCACCAATAACCATTCTCCTGCTATAAATGAATGATCTCTTTATATTTAATTCTGAAAGCTATAAAAAAAACAGGACCAAATACATATACATTCTGTATCTTCCATTCCCCTTGGTTACTGGCAATGCAAAGCTAGATCATGCAAACTTTGTAGTTGCAACTGAATGAAAACTCCCAAAGATAGTGGCAAATGGGGATAGGAACAAGTCTAGTTCTGTTACGTATCTTTACAATTCACAATGGTCTATATATGCAGAGGCATAGACACACAGCAAGGTACAATCTTACATACAAATCAACCCATTAAAAAGACTGAGCTGCTAAGAGCTTCGGCTCTTTTTAAATAGTTTTTTAAATATATGAAGCTCAGTACTGAATGTGCATATCCTTCTGCAAGCAAACACCAGCACCTATCTGTCTAAATGAAGGGTACAGATATGTCTACAGTTTGTATGTGTGTCTGTAGCAGTATTTCAGTGCATAATCCTGGAGTAAAGCATGGCTGGCCATCCTGTTTTCTATTGCTATGGGGAAGAGTGGTTCACTGTGACTGTCCCAAAAATCTCTGTGCATTGTGGAATCTTGTTTTGTTCCACCAATAAGACAGATCTTCAGCGTTTTCTCATGTGTCCCTTTTCCACTTTTTCCTATCCTGTCCCTGACTTTCTCAAAGAGTGGAGTTTCAGGGAAGAAACATTTTGAATAGTTAATATAAAGCCAACTGAAGATGGCTGACTTATCAGTGTCTTTTCCCCCACCCACCCTCCAGAAAAACAAAAGAACAGTGACACTAATTTTAATTATTGGGTTGGACTGTGATCAGAGTAGATGAAAAGATCGTATCTGATGAAAGCATATGGTAAGTTGAGCACTAGGCGATGAAACAGACATGAATTTGCTAGATTTGCCACTTTTGCTTTAGCATTTTTTTGAGGGAAACCAAATTCTGTATCATGACAAAGCATTATAGATAAGAGAATCTTCTACTCTTTTCACAAATTATTGAACCTACATCTCTCCTCTTTCCATTAAGAGAGAGGTAAGTATCTTTATCCCTCATTTACAAAATCCCATACGAAGACCAATGAGGAAGGCGAGAAACAGTGCAGTTGTGCCTCCAAGTTCAGCACCTCTCAAGATAGTATCTCAGGCTCCAGTCGCCAAATGCTTAACTTGCTGTCTTCTCTGGGATCCGGCCCTGCTTAACTCACCAGTGCTCCTGGCTACAGTGGAATTGGGTTGCATCCCTTGACAAATAGACAGATACATAGGTGCTACATGTGTGTATGCATGTAAACAGCCACATATACACTTATCCTAGTGTGTGATTTGGACTGCAGTTGTTGCCATTCAAGAAGCCCATCGTATTAGAATATGGTGTGTTCCATTTAAGTTATACCTGCTTAACTCAAGCAACCCTTTGGGGAGACTACAGATGGGATTAAGAAAGAAGGAAATTTCCCATCATGGATACATTTCATAAATGCTGCAATAATCAGATAAGTGGAAAAAATGATAAATTAATCCATCTTCACTCGATTGATTTAACAACTCTTACTCCAACATCCACTAATTTTTTCTAGTCATAAATATATACTGTGGAGAAAAGGGAATGGTTGTGGACTGAATTAGTGGGCAAAGGAAGAATTAAACTTTTGTCTCTTCCTGACAGTTCTCTTTGGCCATCCTTTCCAAAACTGGAATCCTCTGCTGGTTGGAAATTATGGAAATTCCCAACATATCTGAAAGGTGCCAGATTGGGGGTAGTTTCATTAGCAATATTGTTTTGTGTTACCATGATACAGCCAATCCATATTTAGAAAAATAGGATTTACCAAGTTAATTTATAGTTTCACCTTTTACCCATTTAACGCCAGAAATCTATTCAGAGGGTTAAAAAAAACCCTGATATCACCTGTTTTTTTAGAAGACTGATTGATATGCATTATGTCATCTTAGACTAGCCTTTAGTGTTAGAATTAGAAAACAATTATATGTAGATATGAAAAGTGATAAATAGTGCCATTGTTGAAGCAATAGCAAAGAGTTCTTTCTGAATTGCAAATAAGCAATAAAGTCCTATAACAGAAACATGCAAGAAAAGAACCTTGAAAAAGATGCTGAGAGTCTAGAAAGATAAGTGGAATGGTTTTAGTAAGATTTAGGGCTGCATAAATTGACCCATTATATCAGTAACTGGCACTGCATACAGTGGTACCTCAGTTCACGAACTTAATTCGTTCCACGATTCTGGTCGCGAACCAAATCGGTCGCGAACCGAATCAAATTTCCCCATAAGGTTCAATGTAAATAAC